GTCCAAAAAAAGTGAGAAAGGCCTAAAGAAAGAAGGCCCAAAAAAGAATAAATAAAAAGGGGCAATACTACTATCCTTTTTTCCACACTCGTGCTTCAAAGTAGCACCATGATCTTCATGATAGAGAGTCTCCTATGCTATCACTTTCATATACTAGTGGGATTTTTCAATTATAGAACTCGGCTTGTATATTCCAACGATGGGTTTCCTCAAAATGCCCTAGGTCTTCGTGAGAAAGCAAGTTGGATGCACACCCACTTAGTTTCTTTTTGTTGAGCTTTCATATACTTATAGATCTAGTGCATCCGTTGCATGGCAATCCCTACTCACTAACATTGATATCTATTGATGGGCATCTCCATAGCCCGCTGATACGCCTAGTTGATGTGAGATATCTTCCGCCTTTTTGTCTTCTCCGCAACCACCATTCTATTCCACCTATAGTGCTATGTCCATGGCTCACGCTCATGTATTGCGTGAAGATTGAAAAAGTATGAGAACACTAAAAGTATGAAACAATTGCTTGGCTTGTCATCGGGATTGTGCATGATTTAAATACTTTATGTGGTGAAGATGGAGCATAGACAGACTATATGATTTTGTAGGGATAACTTTCTTTGGCCATGTTATTTTGAAGAGACATAATTGCTTAGTTAGTATGCTTGAAGTATTATTATTTCTATGTCAATATTAAAATTTTGTCTTGAATCTTTCGAATCTGAATATTCATACCACAATTAAGAGAATTACATTGAAATTATGCCAAGTAGCATTCCACATCAAAAATTCTGTTTTTATCATTTACCTACTCGAGGACGAGCAGGAATTAAGCTTGCGGATGCTTGATACGTCTCCAACGTATCTATAATTTTTGATTGTTCCATGCTATATTATATCCTGTTTTGGACATTATTGGGCTTTATTATACACTTTTATATTATTTTTTGGATTAACCTATTAACCAGAGGCCCAGCCCAGAATTGATGTTTTTTGCCTATTTTAGGGTTCTGCAGAAAAAGAATATCAAACAGAGTCCAAATGGAATGAAACCTTCGGGAACGTGATTTTCGGAACGAACATGATCCAGAGGACTTGGACCCTACGTCAAGCAATCAACGAGGAAGGCACAAGGTAGGGGGCGCGCCTACCCCCCAGGCGCGCCCTCCACCCTCGTGGGGCCCATGTTGCTCCATCGACGTACTCCTTCCTCCCATATATACCTACGTACCCCCAAACTACCATATACGGAGCCAAAACCCTAATTCCACCGCCGTAACTTTCTGTATCCACGAGATCCCATCTTGGGGCCTTTTCCGGAGCTCCGCCGGAGGGGGGCATCGATCACGGAGGGCTTCTACATCAACACCATAGCCTCTCCGATGAAGTGTGAGTAGTTTACTTCAGACCTTCGGGTCCATAGTTATTAGCTAGATGGCTTCTTCTCTCTTTTTGGATCTCAATACAAAGTTCTCCCCCTCTCTTGTGGAGATCTATTCGATGTAATCTTCTTTTGCGGTGTGTTTGTTGAGATCGATGAATTGTGGGTTTATGATCAAGTTTATCTATGAACAATATTTGAATCTTCTCTGAATTCTTTTATGTATGATTGGTTATCTTTGCAAGTCTCTTCGAATTATCACTTTGGTTTGGCCTACTAGATTGATCTTTCTTGCAATGGGAGAAGTGCTTAGCTTTGGGTTCAATCTTGCGGTGTCCTTTCCCAGTGACAGTAGGGGCAGCAAGGCACGTATTGTATTGTTGCCATCAAGGATAACAAGATGGGGTTTATATCATATTGCATGAGTTTATCCCTCTACATCATGCCATCTTGCTTAAAGTGTTATTCTGTTCTCTTGAACTTAATACTCTAGATGCATGCTGGATAGCGGTCGATGTGTGGAGTAATAGTAGTAGATGCAGGCAGGAGTCGATCTACTTGTCTCAGACGTGATGCCTATATATACATGATCATACCTAGATATTCTCATAATTATGCTCAATTTTGTCAATTGCTCAACAGTAATTTGTTCACCCACCGTAATACTTATGCTCTCCAGAGAAGCGTCTAGTGAAACCTATGGCCCCCGGGTCTATTTTCCATCATATTAATCTTCCAATACTTAGTTATTTCCTTTGCCATTTATTTTACTTGCATCTTTATTTCTCTTTATCATAAAAATACCAAAAATATTATCTTATCATATCTATCAGATCTCACTCTCGTAGGTGACCGTGAAGGGATTGACAACCCCTTTATCGCGTTGGTTGTGAGGAGTTTATTTGTTTGTGTAGGTACGAGGGACTCGTGCGTGGCCTCCTACTGGATTGATACCTTGGTTCTCAAAACTGAGGGAAATACTTACGTTGCTCTACTGCATCACCCTTTCCTCTTCAAGGGAAAACCAACGCAGTGCTCAAGAGGTAGAAAATATTTATTTCCCATTGCAACGCATTGGCTTCTAGTATAATTCACAAATGTACAATCCATATAGAACAGTATGTACTAACAATCAAAATTATGCATTGAATACCATGGAAAATCAAGCATGTCTTGCATTTTGGGTGTGGGAGTAATTACTTTTATATGCATACAATCCATATACATTTTAGATAAGCATATAAGGGGAGTAGGGCATTTTGGAGGATGAGCTCCATGGAGCTCTCTTTCTAAAAAATCAAAAATCACGGTTTGAATTTTTTCAGACGTTTCTTGAAAAAATCATACATGTTTCTATGGATGTGTTTTACATGTGTATAAATTTTGATGATGAAATAAATTATGGTGAGACCTATACAAAAAGAAAAAATCATGCATTTTTAATAGTGAACAATATACATACTCTTCATCACTTTCAAAATCATGATTTTGTCTTTTTATGTAGCTCTCACCATAATGTATACGATCTTTACATTTTACGCATATGATTTAAGCAAGATTTTTTGAAACTTCAAAATGTAATTTTCAGAAATTTCAAAATTAAGAGCTCCATGGAGGGCCTCAATTTTAGTTTCTCCCAGGGCCCGTGAAATCTCAGCCCTGATCCTCATTTATCATAAAAACATATTCCGTTAAGTTCACAGATTGATTGACTCAAGTTGAACAACGTAGAGGCCAACATCCACATGTAAGAAAAGCATACCGTTATCATCATCATACGCTATTATATCCATCACTCTCCTCGCTCCGTCAATTTGACGAGAGAATCCACAAATGGTTCATATTTGGATAGTCTTCTACAAAAATCATATGGTAGCACCATGCCAATTGTTCTTCCTCAACCACATTTATAAGCTAGGGTAAGTCAATATGATGATACCAACAACACAGTCTTTTGCCTGGATGTTCTAAGGCCTACTGAAAGTTTTCAGACCAGGAAGTCTCCTGACTACGGAAAGCAAATGGATTTTTGTTATCTAATTCTAGAATGATATGAGTTTTACCATGCATGTAACCATGTCTACCAAATAAATTATTTGTAGAAAAGGGATTAGGGATGTGAGGGGTTTGGGGTGGAAGGAAAAATTGAGGAAATTGGATGGAGGGGAGGCGATCACCAAATCCCCTCCGATCCCTGATTGCCATTGGTTTAGAAACCCCTCTCATCAAATGAGCTCAAAATCTAGTGTCAAGGTGTCTTATACATGACATAATTTTTCATCAATATGTCTTGTATAACATGTTGCACATCTAAGATACGAATACCAACTTCCTATTTTACCTCTTATGCTCTAAACTTGGAACCGAAAACGGTTGCATGGACAGAAGCGTGGTAGAGACGCGTCATTGCTCGAAGGGAAGGTTACGACGACGGGTGAAGGACTGGTGGATGATCCAATGAACGCTCGTAGTAATGTATCCTAAAAAACTTATAAATATAGATTGTCAGTTAATCATAGTTAGCCATGCACTTTTTTATTGAAAGCTGGTGATTTTTATGCACCCTCTTACAAGGAAAGAATGAAATATATGTTAGTATTTTAAAAAAAAAGTTGGTTAGCAAACACAAAATATATTACAATACCATTTTTCATGAAAAATAAAAATATATTAGTTTTATGTTACGATGCGAAATGTTTTAAATGTTTAAATAATCAAAATGAGTGATATGATAACATGTATTTATGAACACATTACTACTACCTCTATCCAGATTTGTGAAGCGGCCATGGAATTTTAGTCATCAATTTGATTTGCGAAACATATGATGCCTCTAAATAGTATATACTCTCTCCGATCCATATTAATTGTTATTGCTTTAGTACTAAAGGGGCTAATGGAATTTATCATCGGATGAGTTGAAAGAGTCAGTAAGAAAACACAAAAAACAGATTCCAATACTGTTTTTCATGAAAATGTAAAAATATTTGCGTCAACCTCGCTACTGAATTGTTTTAAACGTTTAAATAATAAAAAATGATGAAAGTTTTAGTGCTATTGACAATATGTATTTACGAACAAAGTACTGCCTCTATCCGGGTTTGTAAAGAGGGCATGGTTTTCGTCATCAAATTGACTAGCGAAATGTATGTTGCCTGTAGAAATATATGAAGAAAAAAAGTTTGTAATCAGATATACTGAAACATTTCTCAAAAGAAAAATGGCGATCCATATGTAATGAAATGGGATGATTTAGAAAAAATGGAATGAGAAATTCGAAGAGAAATGGAGTGTACACACCAGTCCACGTCAAACGGCAAAACACACGGCATCCCATAATAATCCACAAAGAAAACATAAATCAGAGGCGAAAGCCCGATAATACCCCCGCTGGACTCACGCACGCACACGCGGCCCCCGATACTTATTCACCCCCGACGCCTACTATTCCATCTATTTTTCCTTTCGCCCAGGCAACCCACCCCTCCTCGTCCATCTCGCTCTCCTCTCCTCCTCACCACGTCCACGCCCTACCCATCTCGCCGCCGCCGCCGCCGCCACCGCGGCCAGAGCCGGAGCGGCTGCAGGGGCGGGGGTTGAGGGCGCGACGTCGCCCCCGGCCATGGTGATCTCGGCGGAGCCGCCGCCCGCGGCTCTGCCGTCGGATCCCACCGCGGGAGGCGGCGCCGGGGAGGCGGGGGGCGCGGCCGTGGAGGCGGTGATTACGCCGTCGAGCGCGCGCCGCGGGGCCCTGTCGTCGCTCCCGTCGACGCTCAAGACGTGGGGGAGCCACCGGATGCTGCGCTGCGCCCCCGTCAACCGCGCCGGCGACGCCATCGCCCCGGCCAGGCGGTCCTCCTCGCAGCAGCTCGACGAGGTCAGCGAGAGGCTCCTTCTCGGCCTCCGCGAGGCTTCGGCGGCGGCGGCGGCGGCGCCCGGCGTTGGCAGCGCCGCGGAGGACGACGAGTCCCCGGGGGCCGGCGAGGCGGCCTCTCCGCGTCCGTCGAAGGCGCGCACCCGACGACGCCGCCGCGCCTTGATGCCGTCCCCCGCGCCCGGCGCGAGCGCCTCGCCCCAGGCGTCGGAGCGCGAGCGGAGGCTGGTCCGCGCCGACGCGCTCGACAGGGCGCGGTTCTCCGCGACGCTCTCCGCCGAGGAGATCGAGGAGGACGTGTACGCGCTGACCGGCGCGCGCCCGCGCCGCCGCCCCCGGCGCCGCCGGCCCCGCGCCGTGCAGAAGCAGCTCGATGTGAGTTCGTCCCTCCGTCCCGTGCCTCCTCTGCTCCTCCCCTCCCCTTACATTCCAGCCCCTGCCGCTCCTCCCTCAGGGACCCGTTTGTAATTCCGTGAAACTCCCCGTCCCCAGATGCTACTTCCCGGCGCGTGGCTATCGGAGATCACCGCCGAGTTCTACCGGGTGCCGGACGATCGCTGACCCGCTCCCGCTCAACTCAACCCAACAGTAAGCAAAGCAGAGCGAATTCGCCGATCGCAATTCACAAATCAATTGGTCGCCGCCATTGTGAGCTCTACATAATCCATCCATTAATTGGTCATATAGCGTCGGGCTGATATGAATCCCAGCATTGAACTGTAGTCGTAGCAGCAAGTGCAAGTGATGATTGATGACTAGTCAGTGATTCTCTGGTAGTAGCGGTGGTTGTGGTTCGTATCATCGTCAGCGGATTGGGAGGACACAATGTGGTGTGCTCCTAAGTGCACTGTCCTCGATGGTCCACTCAGTACAATCGTTAATTTTTTGATTTTTTTTTTGAATTTTTAGTACAATCGTTAATTAACATCGACCTCCGTTGCAATCTCAATGCTTCTGCTGTGCATGGAAATTTTTCTCCTTTTTGCATTTCTAGAAGATGTTTTGTTGGTGCTAATTGCCGTGGTGAGTAGTGAGCGCGAGCACGGGGAGGGTTGGGCTTCTGGCTGTCTGGCGCGTGGGACCGGGCGGCTTCGAAACCCTGGCACCGCTCGGCCGGCCTAGGCGGTGGGCGCTGGGCATCCCGTCGCCTGTTTGTTTCCTGGTTGCTCGTGGGGCCGGCGTGTCAGTGAGGGCCGAGTGAGATGGAGTTGGTTGACAGGCACGTATCTCATCACCGGGTGGTCCCTGTCGTGGTCGTGGGCCGTTCCCCAAGTTCGTTCGTCCGGTGACGCCGCGCGCTTTGTGGGTGAGGCCCGGTCCATGGGCTCCGTCCACGCACGCTCTATGGGCTATGGCTGACACTAGCATAGCATCTAAAGGAGGTTACGTTTTTTTTAGCTTAAAATGAGGTTACGTTACGCGCTCAAGCGCCGTTATTTGTCATGGATGGTGCAAAAATCATAGTACTGTTTGGAACAGGTGTCTGGATCGAATCGTTGTTAGTCCACATGATGAGTTATCGTGGTCCTCTGCTCTCCGGACCGTCTGATTTGGCAACGGAGGGCCAGGATCGGCAGCTCGTACGGATAACCACTGACAGTGCACCCACCCTAGTTATGGGACGCAACATTGACATGCATGCAAATGCTGCTGGGATAAGCATACGCATGATGGCGGATCCACTGTGTCCATGCAGGAATTTGGCCCATGCACCGTCCCCTTCGGACCTATTTGGTGTGCACTTCCCGGCCTACTTTTGTGCATCCGTTGAGACAAACATTGAGTGGTACGTATGCCCGTGTCGGCCTTCTTTTGAGCTGCTCCTCTTTGTATTGTTTGGAGGATATTTCTGCGATCCCAACCCTTATGGTCGTAGCAGCCTACTCAAACGGCATGGAATTTTCATGTCTTATTCTTTGTAGCAATACTATGCTTTGCACTTGATAGCCCGTCGGATTCATAACTATATCTACACCACTAAGTACTAGTGTACCAATAACTTTGAATATTGGCCGTTGGGTGAAGCCAATCCGACGGTACTGTAGCACCCCGGGATCGGCACTAAGCAGATCTAGCAATCCCACTAGCCTCTGCATAATGACAATCCTAAGGTGCTAAAGCTTCACATAACGAACACGTCGAAACATGTGCGCCATATGGAACAACCGTGGATATCATAACACAGATAAGGAAATAGTCTGTAACAACAACATATACATATACAACACATACAACGAATGAACACAACAAGGGTCTTTGGGCAATTGGTAAAGGAAGTCAAGAACTACATGCTTGTCAGGGAGTTTAAAAGTTGTGAAGATTCTGATATCACAGAACATAGTTTCACATTCTCTAGGTAATTATGCTCGTACGACACGTAGCACCGCTTGTTCGTTGCAACAATCTCCCCCTTTCATTTATAATATTGTATTAGCAGATTGAAACTTGTTACTCCCTCCGTTTCAAAATAGATGACTCAACTTTATACTAATTTTAGTACAAAGTTGAGTCATCTATTTTGGAACGGAGGGAGTACTATGGAATAAATTCCCTTTTACCCCGCAAAAAAAGTCCTTCAGCCAAGATACAACTCCTACAATAGAAGTGAATTACACGTTGGATAGGTAAAGAATGCAAATGCTTTAGAAGGCTAAAAAAATAAAGCGAAGACTTGTTGGAGTGTGCGGCTCTATTACTAACAAAATTAAGGATGGGAAAGTTTTAGAGATTATAAGTTGAAGTTGTGCTATGATCAAGTCAGCAAGATCCAAATCATCCTTAACCGCGGACACAACTACTCGAATAGGTTTATCCTTGCAGAGTTGCACCAATGTACCCACACGCACGCCCATCAAAACCAGTTGTTGGCCCGTAATGGTATGAACCAGAAGATTTGAAACGGCATGACACTCCCCTAGCTACATCCAAGTCCAAGAAGACACTCGCTTGAGTTGACACCCGAATCGGAAGTCTAGTCGTAGCTCCGGATCGGTCTCAATTGAATAAGTGAGGTTCCAAGATGGGTTGCCAAAGGATAGGGTCAACCCCAAGGTATTAGCTTCATTGTAAGTTTGAACCACCACGAAGGATGATGCCCTCATCCGAGGTCAACCCCCTAATGGCTCTGGCCTAAGAAATAAATATAGTACCACCGTTGCGGCTCTTGGAGATGTCTACGGTTTCAGGTACCGGTCAAATGGGGCCCCATAAACCACTCACACATGTGGTTAGCGCGCTCATCTTGAATCGGGTTCCCAAGAACTCTGGTCCTAGTTAGGTCGAGTGAGGCAAAACACCATGTGCTCAAACGTGGCCTCCCACCATTACCTTCCTAACTTAAATCTCATATTTCACACATAGCATCATTAATAACGGAGTCCATCTAGACTAGTTTAATAGTGTAATAAACCAAGGTAACAACAGGAGGATATAGCATGGTAAAACATAAATCCTAAGCATGCATAGTACTATAAGGCAAGTTTAACTAGGCTTCTACACAAACAAGCATGTCATGATGGGATCAAGTAATACCAAGGCAATATAGTGGAGTGAAAAAAATAGGCTATGCATCAGATAGGTATGAGGACACACTACAACATCGAAAAGCCAATACATGCAGCAGGGGGAAGCATGGGACCAGATATGATCAAAGATGGTAAGCATTGCCTGATGTCCACGTTTGGTAGAAGATCAAGCCTTGCTTGTATCTCACATCATCTCTGTCCTATTCATGGAGAAGCAAAGCAACACCGGAAAGAACAACGAATGCAATCTTACTACTACGAGGAAGATTCAACATGTTCATGATATGCAATGACATGACATGGCAAGGATGACGAGCAACATGATCCAAGGCCTACAATGCTTAAATGCATCGATGCATTGCCTGCAATTCCCGCCCGGGTGCCTATGTGCAATCACTCCCAACATCCACGAGAGGATATTGTATGCTTGTGTATAATCGCCATGCAACATCCTAATAGCGTTTGCCTTGGCCTTCTATGTCTTCCCATACTTGATATTGTATTTGTATCGTCCTTTCACCGTACTCATGGAAAACTTCACCTTCACGGTTGGATCACAGGCTATCTCTTTCATTAATTTGTACTTGAGAAACTCAGACGTGAGTTGACGGTGTCCCTTACTACAATCATCTTTCAATGATGGTGGGCAGTTGTGAGTGGCTACACAACTTTGCAATACCCATTACCCGATTTCATGAATTCTTATTCCACGGACCTTCCATGGGAACCTTGTTTGTCACATTTCATGGTGTAACACACCTTTTGGTTGGAATGCCCAACAACATATGGCCTATGGTTCCAAATGGCATAGTCACTCAGGCACACCTTGAACTCCTGCAAGCACCCAAACTTCACGCCTTTCTTCAAATGAGCATTCTCGTCCTCGTTATCTGGCCTTGGTTCACCTACTTTTGGGCATGGTGTTCGTTCAATCAGCCCCAGGTTCATGCCACCATCAACTACGACCTTGTTGGCAAGGCTAAGATCACGAAACAATGGTAGTACTTCTTTCCTTGCCCGACAACTCAAAGAAGATTTGGCTTTCTTGCTCTGTGAATATATCCTTGTCCAATTTTTCCTCCGGACCCTTTTCATCCGAGCCATGCCCGACAACTCATGATCCATGTCCTGCTACAAGACGATGGCATCCAAGTTACTGATGAGATTATAATGAATCTCTTGCTTTTGCACATCATCACCACGAGCATCTGCATGCTTTTGAATTACTATGGCACTAGCATTCACCTCGACTTCATTTGTGCGGCTACTTGGTGGTTGGCTAGAAGTGTTGGAAATATGAGCAATTTACCAAATGATTTTATTAACAGAAATACTAGATAAAGCATGAGTAATATAATAGAGATAAAAACAAGTCATATGTTCTGACAGAGAGAAGGTAAATAGTTTCTGCATATATGAACCGTAGCCTAGCATATCTATAGCAGACAGTAGAACTAGTTGCATATATGAAGTAGAACATATCATGTGTAGGACAAGGACTAGAACAAGGAACTGCGGCAGAACCTTTAACAGGAAAGACAAGAACATGTACGAGACAGCAGCAGCAGAAGCGCTGGACTTGGGGTCGGTGTCCTCGCCTGCCATGTCGTTGAGGAGGTCGTGGACGTCGGGGAAGAAGTCGTCGTTGGGGAAGTAGTCGTCGGTGACCGGATCGTCCGTGATGAAGCAGCCAGTAGTCGCGCTGAGTGCTCCCCAAAAACCTTATCACCCTTCTCCCGTACAGGACTCAAAAGGTGCGGTTTCGGAGGCCTACTGTCCCGACCTGCGGTGCACGCCGCAAGCCGGGATGGGGAAGATCATAGCAGCAGCACAGTGCTCAGGAACTTGTGGCGAGAGGAAGGGGATCTTCTGGTGTGTCTCTCTGGAGAGGAGCGACCTCTCTTATATAGGCACAGGAGAAGGACGCGAAGAGGCTGCGGCGGGAGGTGAAGCAACAAAGGGAGACGAAGCGAACAGGCAACGGTCGAAGAGGCGCGCCGTTCGAATTCAGTGTCCACTACAGAAAAACGTTTCAAC